GTGTGTGTGTGTGTGTGTGTGTGTGAGGTGAAAGAAGAATGTGTTTTTGACAGTTCAGCTGATTAAGGTGCTTGGCAGTGAGGAGGAGGGAGGAAGTTTAGAAAAAAGAGAAGCGGCTGAAAACTGAGTGGGGGATAAAATGATTTATGGAAGATCTGAAAGGAGAGATAAATGACAGCCCAAATATCAGAAGATTGCAAGAATGGGAGCAGAAGAAAAATAAAGCAGGTGATTAGTGAAGAGGGAGCGTGAGAGGGAGGGAGGGATGGAGATGAGAGGACACGATATCTTCAGATGCTGCCGTTTTTCCCCTCGCCTGTTCCAGACATCTCAGCTTTCACTCACACATGTGCGGATGCAAGCACACAGAGGACACACAGTGAGGTTTGTGCAGCCAGTGTGTGTCGTGCGGCAGCTCTGAGAAGTGATGACTGTATGTTAATTGTGCCCGGGTTTATTGTGATTCTTTGTATGAAGTTGTCATAAACTCGTTTATCAAGCAGACGCAGCCCTATCACTGCTCTGCATCTGTAGCCATCTCTGCACATGTAGAGCAGCTGCATTCACTGTGTGCTTTTCATCCTCTTTAGGTTTCTCCTATACATCTCCTCATCCAGCTGCTTATCTCTCTCTCTGTTGAAGTCTTTCTCTCATCTTTCACTCCCTCTAGTTTTCATTCTGCAGACCCTTTGTCACTGAAGCTCTCAAATGAGTTTGGATTTCTACTCTCAAGTGCTTCTAGTACTCTCCTTATTGCTGGTGGCTGGTTTTGTTTATAGAGGTATACTTTAACAAAAGAACATTGTTGAGTAAAAATGGCCAAGAAACATGTATTGTTCTCTTCTTCTCAAGCAGTGGATTGACAGAAGTTCCACTGGATAAAGAATGTGGCAAATTTTCACTTGTCGTTCTATAGAAATATCAGAAGTTTCAAAACAAATATCTGGTTTATGTTTACACCTTCCATTCACACAACTCCAGAGTGTTTGAGAACCTAAAAGGGAAACATTTCTAACCCTTCTGACACTGTTTTAGTTTCAAATCTCGAGGATGGAGTTATAATCTGGTTAAAAGAGAAAAACATCACAACTCAGGCTTTAGCGTCTTGTGAATGGTCATGTGATATGCATTTTCAAGTGTGTTAGTATTGAATAGATTATTTCTAAAACATAAAACGCCTGTTGGGTCAGAGATTGTTTTATTTTTTAAATATTTTAAAACATTTTAGATGCTCATCAGGCTCACAGTATAATCCATAAGCGGGTAATTGTGTCAGTTTGTGTATTAAAGAGTTCCGATCTACAGTTTCAGGACAGAATGGCTGTGGTGCTTTTCTTCATTCAAATTATAGTTACCATCGGTCTGTTTCCTGTCGTATCACTCTGCTACTCTCTCTTTAAACTTATCACAAGGAAGACACTTTTCTTCACCTTTGCTAAATTGTGATGCAGTAAACTTACGTATAACTTTTCGGGCTGTGTCGTGTTCTGTCCACAGAAAGCCCAGGGTTATTCAGGCCAGACAATGAGAGAGCTAGAACAGAGCAGTTCTCCAGAACAGGGCAACAGTCTCTATAATGCTCATCAGTGTCTCACTAGATTGAGACGGAAGTGCATTGTGCTGAATGATTGTGTGCTAATGAATGTTCAGAACATGTGTAGCATATTGATGAGCAGTGGGAGAGGTTTCTCAGGATGTTTACATGCCAATTATTGTTATTTGCTGTAAACAATAAGGATTTAATATGACCTGTTTTTCTTTTCAGTGCCCAATGGGAGTTATTCTCACATGGACGAGGAAGACGAGGGCGAACTCTACGGACACGAGGAGTTCATGAGCTCTACACAACACCCGTCATACCTACAGGAATGGTTTGTGTTAGTGTATGTTTTGTTGAGTAAAGTTGGCAGACAGAGTACTTTAGAAATCAATGATATGCAGGGATGAATTATACACAAAACAAACGATGACTTATCTTCTTCGCCAAATTGTTGTTGTTGTCCTTGGGAAGATGCAGGAACATATAAGTAGTGTACTCTATTTATTTTGAAACTTTATGTTTTAATGAATGTGTTTAATCGATTGTATGAATACATTTAGAGTTAAGTTCTACTATATTACTCAAGGACTGGAAAGTAAATAAACAACTGGGAATAAGCTGAGTGTTCTTTTAGTCAAGACTCTACCAACAACAAATGGATGTGATGACTCTATCATCCATTTGTTCCAGGGGAGACTCTCACATCTCAAGCCAGGCTCAGCCCCAGTCTCCCGGCCAGAACCAGAACCAGAACCAGAGCCAGCGACAGTTCCAGCATGTTAAGGCCTCCAAGAGCATGGACCTGGGTACGACTCAGAACCAGCAGCACACTGGTGGGGTGATATTTCCTTTTTATCTGCTCTGCATTGTGGCTGCACGCATCTTATCCTCACAATGATTTAAGTAAACTGATGCTGATGCATGGCTGCTGCACCACTGGCATGCTCCTCAAAGCCACATGCAGACTGACACCTCCGCACACGTGATACTGTGCAACTACAGGTACAGCTACGCAAGTAGGTCGGAAACAATTATCCCTGTTGCATGAGCTTTACAAATTCTTTTCTTATTGTTCCACTGTTTATGTGAAATAATTCACATCACACATTGAAGTCTGAATTGTGTTAATATTTTAACCATATGCCAGAAATTCAACCCTTTTGCTTAATGAAAAAATACCTTTGCATTGCAGAGTAAGAATGATGTAAATGACAGATGACACAGAGGACGTATAAGTTAGGAGGGAGTGAGAGTCTGTGGGAGAAAGATTCGGTTTGCCTCAACCCGTTCTTCTGTTTCCCATTAATGTTTGCTAATTTCTGACAGAAAATGCAAAACAAATGGTCACAGGGTTTCTCTGGGCTCTGAAAAAGTCTAAATAGTAATAAAACCTCTAACAACACAGACTGATAACTAACAGTTACAAATTATCTCAGTATACTCCTGTAGGAAAGACGAAGGAGAGAATAAGGTTTATTCTCTACTAGAATACTTCACCTTATCGTCAATTATGAGGAAGTGTAAGTAAATCTGTGACTCAGATGTTCCTTCATCTGTCGTACTTGACATAGGTCTGGAATTTAATTCATTATGGTCTTAACAATTTAACTTGTTGAAACCTTCAGGAAACCTTTGTCACCATTTGTTTCACAAGATTTGAAATTAGATCCATTATGGCCTTTAATTATGCAAAAAGCAGTTCAGAGAGGTGACTTTCTGCAGCCGCCACAGTCCCGCTTTCCCCCGTCATCTTTCTCACCTGTGGCTCTTTGATAACTGATATTTGGACACGAGGGTTTGGTGACATTTCGGTGATTGTTCAGAAGTCAGCTTTAGAAATATGTGCATGTGCGATGGTTGTGCTCATGTGTAATGTGACAGTGGATTCAGAAGCACAACAAAAGCTTATTGTTTCAAATGTCACTTTCCTCGGTCCTCCTTCTTAAGCTGGCTCAACTGCCAGCTCTCTGTGTGTGTGTGTGTGTGTGTGTGTGTGT